ATATTTTTTAATTTTTGTCTTATCGTTGTAATAATGAATCAACAATGATCAACAATTAATAGCCGTATGTAATTTTTGATTCTAAAGATTCTATGTTATTTGTTATTTTTAATCATTGGCAGCATGATAATCATATTGAGTATAATTGTTGTAAATAAATATAGTCAAAATTTATGCTATTTCTGGAAGAAAAGAAAAAAAAAGAAAAAAAAAGAAAAAAAAGCGTTTCGATTAAATTATTATTAATATTAAAATATTTAAACGATATAATTTGGACATTTATTTAGAATATCTTAAAGCTTATTTTAGAATTTTTATAGATTTTTTCGCTATATTATTTTTTATTATAAATTAATAATTTTTAAAAAGTTCTATATTATTTGACCATTGTGTTGAATTGATTATTTTAGTTTTATTAGTTTTATTTATTTTAGTTTCAAAAAAATTGTTGATTTTTTATTCGTAATTAATAACCTGAAAAATCTCTGGATACAATGTTTAAAAAATCAATCTGATACAAAATTTCGTGATTTAAAGAGTTAAGAAAGAAGACTGTCTAACTTTTAACTGCCGTATCGTTACAATAATGAATCAATCATTAAAAACCATGTTTCCTTCTTCACATTAAAGAAAATTCAATTTTTATTTGTTCATTGTGGATATTGCTACTTAATTTTATTTTTCTTTCAGGAAAAATCACTCCAAGAAATGTTCTTTTCACTTGAATGCAGTCCTTGCATTATTAAAATTGATGGAAGATTCTTCATAAGTCACAAAATTTGTATTGAGTCATCTTCTTGTCTTGAGTCATCTCTTAGTTCTATTTTCAGCTAATAAATAATTAGAAATTCTGACAAAATTACAGATACACAATGAATAAGTACAAATTGACAATGAAAAAAGTTAAAAACTCGTGAATTCGTTAACAAATATTGAACAATGATTTTCTTGAAAATGACACAATTTCATTACCAATTTCTATTTATCTTATAGATATCTGTGAACTTTTAAGAAATTCCGTCACTTTGCAGACTTTACAGATTTCAATATGAAAAATCCCAAAATTTTTTTGTTTGAAAAATCATTTGTTTGATTTAAAATATATTTTATCAAATTTTATTTTATTCGCAGTTTTTTTATACAAATATTTTGACAAAGATTGTGGTAATCCTTATTAATTTGTCCTAGACCTTAAACTAACAGTTTCATAACGTTTTTCAGATAAAAAAAATCACAGATTACGAAGTGGTAATAAAAAAGATATTTTTAGCAATGTCGATACTTTCGATACAGCTCTGAAAATGACATTTGGTTTAACTTGGAGTATCCAAAAAATAATAGCGCTACATTAGAAATGATTCAACGGTGTTTCTTAAAAATTCACCCGGACCAAGATTGAAGGTCGAAGAAATACAGTGCAAAGAAAAACGTCAGTTTAATGACAAAACTCTTCTGAAACAATATGTTATTTCAAAATTTATATTTACAAATATATTTAATCATTTAAATTTGTAATATTATACAATATTATATAAACAAGATGTTTATATTAAGTTTGTAATATTAACATATAAGAAAAAGAAATTTATGTTATACAGTTATAGTGATAGAAACAAGTTTATTTGTAAAACTTCAGAAACAGAAATGTATTTGTTTTGTTCGAAATATATTTGATTTTGACACAAACTTCTATATTATATTTACATAATATTATAACATCTACACAGTTGGAAAAAATGTGTTGAATTTAACATAAATCTCATGTCTCAAACGGATCACTCCAAATTTAAAAATTAAATCAAAATCTATAATTAAACATAATATGAGTATGTTAAATGATAGCACTGATACTATGTTTCAACAAAAATGAAATGTAATCTTGAATAAAGCTTGAAGAGAATTATGATATTATTACAATCAATATAATTATTATAACTAAATTAACACTGCTAATAGCGACTTGATTAAAACTTGCAGAATAGTCATTTACAATTAACAAGAATATGGTATATAATGATACATTTTTTGTATCATTTATTCTTTCTAATTGTAAATGACTATCCTAGCTTTAGTCTTGTCAAATCGCTGTTAGCAGTGTAATATTATATATTAAAAGTTTGTTATAGATTTTGATTTATTTTTTAACATGACATTGGAAATTTAAAATTTAATATTTCACAATCTTACGTGAAATATGTGAAATTAATATTTAAAAATACATTCTTTTGACAAGTTTTCTATGTGAAATTATCCAACAATGTAAAATTAATGTAGAAAATATAAAAATATGTAGAAACACAAAACAAAACATATATTTGCTGAGTGAGATTACATTTTACAAAATGTAATTTTTGTATAC